CCCCAGACCTTCGTCTTGATTTTTCTGTGAACCTAAAACAGCTTAAAAAAAAAAAAAAGTAGAGTCTTAAAAATCTGGACCAAAACAGAGGTGCTAAGTGATTAAGTACTTCCTATGATCCTACCCCTGGAAATGTCAGGCTCAGGCCCAGCGGCCAGCGCTCTGTAAGCTTCAACCTACAGTCCAAAGGTCTGTGAGTAGAAGTCTTACAGGTAATCTGGCCCCTCTCTCTTCTTATCTTATAGAAAGGGAAACAGATTCAAAGAGAACAGGTGATTTGTCTAAAGAAATTCTGAAGGTTACTTGTGTCTTAGAATTAAAAACCAAGCAAATTACTTGGTGAGGATGATTTGGTAGCTATAAGACCTAGAGCTGGGGGCAGACCCAAAGCTCCTGTCTTCTGCTGGTCCTCTGTACTCCATCCCCGCCACAGTCTTGCCTCCATCCTGGGCCTGTAGTGCCCCTGTGGGCATCGCAAGATGCTCTGGCCTTCTGCTTCTGTGGCCCCAATACCAGTGACTCTGCCTCTCCCGCCTGACCCCAGCCAGGGCCCTCAGTCCCTACGTCCCCCTAGCTCTGACCACACCCTCCGCTCCACTCTTACACTGAATCTCTATAGAGCCTTCCAGTTTTCTAGTCTCCCGGATCTTCTAGAACCTTTCACTTCCCGCAGTCTCACAGGCTACCTGCCTGTCCACTACTCCCCATCCAGGACCCAGGGACCACCCTGTCAGCATACCCTGACTCTTCACCAATACCCCCACCTTTGTGTTGCAACTGTTAGAGCCCCAGCACTGGGATAAGTCCACTCTCCATCCTTCCTCTTTTGTCCCCAGTCCTAGACCTGCCAAGGGCAGTCTGGCCACTGTGGACTTGCAAATTGCTGGGAGTTCAAAGGTGCCCACCACAAGAGGGCGTCATCTCCTAATTGGAACTGACAGAGTCAATGATCAGGGTTGTTACTTTCAAGCCTGGGCTTACTTGAGAGCCTGGAGAGGCCTAGCACAGGGGCCAGGTGGTACGATTGTTCTGGGTGTGGCATGGGCGTTAAGATTTTTAAAAGTCCCCTCTGAGTCTAAAACTTGTTTTATCCAAAGAAGTACTGCTCAGTACAGAGAGATACACCATCATGCCACACAAAGGATGAGCCCTCAACACACTGTGCTATGTGGAAGAAGCCAGGCACCTAGGACCAAATCATTTCATGAATATGAGATTTTCAGAGGGTACAAGATACAGAGAACAAAGCCATCCTGGCAGTGAGGGCGGAATGGACTGCGGCCCACGGCAGCCTTCAGAGAGACGGAAGAGTTTTGGAACAGGATTGCAACCATGGTTGCATATCCATGAAAATTTGTTAAAATAACTAAACTGGGGCTGGGAAGAGAGCTCAGTAGAAGAAGCACTTGCCTGGTAAGCACAAGGTCCTGAGTTCAATCCTCAGTACCGCAAAAAACAAAACAAACAAAAAACCCCCAAACAAACAAACAAACAAAAAACCCAAACAAACAAACAAAAAACCCCTAAACTATATATTAACAATGTTATAAAATGGATAATATGAAAATTATACCTCAACAAAGTTATTAAAAATGAAAAAACCCAACTACAAATTTTAGTTTGGGTTTTTAAAAAAAGAAAAAAAATTTTTCCCCAGTGATTCTAGTGAGCAGGCAGACTGAGGACGCAGCGCAGGGAGCTTGGGACACTGCTCACCGAGGCCCTGTCCACTCCCCTGTGGCCCTCCGTAGCACAGTGCCCGGCATACAGCAGGGTACACTATTTTCTGCGTGGATGGATATGCATTGGCAGAGTCAGTGCCATGAATTCACTAGAGTACTGAGTGGCCACTGAATGAGCACCTCAGATGCAGAACTCTTCCATTTACCGTATTTTTCTCACCCAAAGCTCTCATCTCCCATTGGGATGTAGGAGGATTCACCCCCATCTTACAGAAAAGAAAACTGGACTTCTGCAAGGTGAATGCCTGGGGTCATCCCATCCTTCCCAGGCAAAGACCAGCCTGCCTGCTAACCAGGCCTTCCTGCTTCTTTCATTTCATTAAATCTTTAATCCAGAGAAGGCCTGGCTGCAGCAAGCACAATGTCTGCAGCCATGGTTGTCCTCCAAATAGTTCTAAATCTGCTATGTCTAACATTCACCAGGATGAGGTGAACTGCCAGAGGCCACACAGCCATCCCTTGGCAAAGTTGAGCCTACCATCAGCTCAGCTGATCCACATCTGGAGCAGCTTCTGGGCCCTCTGGGACTAGCCTTGATGCTAAGTGACAGGTGCTTGCTGGAGCAGCTGACCCCAAAGCTGGGATGGCCCTCAGCCCTCCCCTCCCTTCCAGTTACAATGCCACCGCAGTAAGCTCCATGGGATTAAGGTCTTTCCTTGTCCCTCCAACTTCAGGAATGCTTTCACTTGACATTCCTTCTAGCGCACCCGTTTGGAACAGAGGTGTCTGACACTGTTGCCCGACCAGTTTCATAATAGGAATCTAGTTTCCTTTGCACTCATGGAAAGCTGTTAGCCCCTGGCACATTTCCAGAGGCTGCACTCCAGGGATGCAGGCCAGACACCAGGAGAGGGAAACCGAAGCTCTTGGGCACAGAGAGGAGTCAGCTGGGCTGAGGGACCTAACTCAGGAGGGGCCCTTGCCAACAGTGCTACCTAGCAACATCCTGTCCTTGGGGAAAGAGGGTTCCTGCCTAAGACCCCGGCGGAGAGCCCCAACACAGGCAGGCAAGGGACAGAGATGCGGCACCTCGTTGTCAGTGCCTGCTCCCACAGGTGATCCACATAGTAGAGAAAGTACTGACCAACAGCCTGGAGGGTCAGGTCACACTCTTTACTGGCATGTGCCCGGGGGCAAGAAGCCACCAACCCTCTGCAAGCCTCAGTTTCCTCGCTTGCATAATGGGAACCATTACTGTTCCCTACAAGGCTGCTGGGCTGTGAGGGTGTTTGGGAGTCTAAGAAGCGCTGAACCAACATCAAGGTTCACCTCTTCAGGTGAAGCCTGGTGGAATGTCAAGGCTCTGAGGCTGTATACACGTAGCCGCATGTGGCGCTGGGAAGTTATGGATGGAAAGGGTGATGGGAAGTCTGAACCATATTTCCTAACTCCAAGAGCCATATTTCCTAACTCCAGAGATGATGTGAAACCATGAGCTCTCTCTCTTTACTTCTCTGGGTCTTAGTTTCCCCCTCTACAGATCAGATTAGGGGAGGTGCCCAATGTGCTGATAGCCAAAGATGCTATCAGAAAGAAGCAGGCCCTGCAAAGCCTGCAAGGTCAGGTGCTAATGGGACCAGGATTCTATCTGACCCTATTCTCCACCATCAACCTATTTCATGCTCATTTTAGAATTTTGTCACTGTTCTGTAAGGGGGAGCTTGCCAGGAAAGGCTCTTCAGGGTCTGGCTCTCAGTTGTTCCCACCAGAGACGGAGTCCCCTTAGCCTCTTCCTGGGGGGCCAAGAAGCAGAAAAGTGGGAGCAGACTGGGGGGTAAAACTTGCCTTGTTTGATCACCCACTCACATCTTGGGCCAAACCCTTCCACTCTTCAAGAACTTCCAAAAACATCTGTCTATGCACGAAACTCATCATTTATAAAGCTATTTCAAATCTATTCTCAATGGACAAAAGCTCTTCAAGAAGGTGGGTATTGCTCCTAGTTCACTTCCAGGGGGAAACAGCAACTGAAAGAAGTAGAGTGGCTTCTCCAAGTCACAGAGCCAGGATGTGGATTGGCCTCTAACACTCAGGAAAGACAAAAGCCTCAGGAGTAGAAGCACAGAGCTGAGATGGAAACCAGGGCAGGTGACCCAGGGCACTCTGCCTCACCTCTGTCACCACCTGCTTGGGCTTATCTCCCTCCTGAGCCAGCTGGTGGAGGGGGGGAATTCTTCCCCCACCTTCCCAGCCAAGGCCTACAGGATACCTTGCCTCATGCCTGGAAATTCCCCACATCTAATAGGTGGAGGCACCTGGGCTGCTCAGCATACCTAAGCTGTCTTGTTTTCTGGGGGTGACCCTAAGGATAGAGTATACATGGGAAAAGCAAGCAAGGTGTAAGGCAAACAACAAAAAAGAGACCACTCTTGCTGCTGTCCTTGCTAGTAAGGCTGTATGGAAGTGGAAATCTTCCAGGACCAGCAGTGGGACTCAGAAGTAGAACAGTCCTCTTGGAGGTCAGTCCCTCTCACACTTTTAAATGGCCCACTAATGCCAACTTCTAGAAACAACCACAATGCACACCTCAGCTTGGAGGTGTTGGCTGCAGGCTCACAGGGCTGTAAACATTTCTGGGGTCTAATGTACTAAGTTTCCATACACCTATCTGACTGACCACCACGCCCCATTAAAGCATGGAGTCATCAAAATCTCCCAGATTGGATGCAATGCATTAAAAAGTAAAATATGTATAGTATGAAGTCATTTGGGCTTAAACATATGTATATAAAAAGTTCTAGGAAGATAAATAGAAAATTGAAAGTAGGAGAACTGGAAAAAAGAAAATGGGATGGGAGTTGAGACAAAACAATAAATTTATTTTCTTATCATACATGTTTTAGATTTTTCTTTTCCAAAACAAAACCAGACCTCACATATTTACGTGTGAGTGTAAGGCACTATTCAAAACCAAAACCAAAACCAAAACAAAAAAGCCACCCAAGTCAAGATGACCCGGAAGTTGTGGTTCTAAGCCAGGTCTTCCCCCAAACTCTTCCTTAGGTAGCACATATCACGTTAGACAGTCATTACCTCGTCAGTAACAGGGACCAGCCCGTGGCCCCCGCAGGAGTGAGACCCAGGAGGCGAAGGGCAGTCAGCCCCCGTGCAGTCTAGCATGGTGTGCCTAACAGCGCTCTGCACACATCCATCTGCCACCAGCTCTCTTTGGACCCTGAGGTCCTGCTCCCAACCTCTCCCATGGGGTCGCTGCCCAGCAGGGAGCTAGCGCCCTGCAGCCGGGCAGGCAGCACCTACCTCAGAGAAGCGCTGGACGTCCTGTGTGAGCGTGCCCACGCGCCGCCAGCGGTAGTACTTCAGCAGCTTCAGGATGGCTGGATTCACTGCGTTGTCCGAGGGCACCGTCCGGAAAAAATAGGGATATTTTTTCTTATCAGCTAGGACAGGTGTGGTTGCAGCAAAGGAAAGCTGAAAAAATACAAAAGAGAAACGGTTTTTACCTGGGGTCCTCAGTAGCTTTCCTAATAGTATGCACACTGGGGTTCCTACGTACAAAAAAACACATGGAAAAGAAATTTTTGAAGCCTTTCCCTATAAGAATAACACATCATAATTGAAGAGAAGGTCTAAGTGTGCAAAATAAAGGAAGGGTAAAAAAATTAACCAGTGTTTTGCTCTTCCCCAAAGAACCACCATTAACGTCTACTTCCTTCCAGTCCTTTCTCTGTACAAAGTGATTTTACTGAAGTTTCTTGAGGCCATTCTCTACATACAAGTGTTTTTCCCACCACTTACATTTTATAAGCATTAAACTATGATGTCAAAAACTCTTTGTAAATATTTTAATAGTTGCATAATATTCCATCATATGAACATGACTCAGTTTAGTGAATCATCTTTCATTTGGGAGCATCTATGTTGCTTCTAATTTGTCATTATTTACCATTATTTATTGTCATTTTATTCTACAGGCAACTATGTACACAATATCTTTTTCTGGATTTCACGAGATTTCCATAAAATAGAGTTGGTGCTATAAAATTTCCCAGCTAAAGACAGCATACAAGCCTTTATAGTCTTTATGTTTGTTTCTAAAAAAAATTATTTAATCAGTTTGCATATATGTCAGGTCTAACTGAAGGACCAATTTTTCCACATTCTTGTCAACAGAGAACGAGACATTTCTCTAATTTTATGATGAATATCATTTAAAACTCTGGATTATATTACATTCATGATTGCATATAATGGTGAATCTTTTCCATGCAGTTGTTAACAATGCGGACACCCTATTTATTTGGGGAATGAGTTTTTCATTTCCCTCCTTTTTCAAGTGGTATTCTAATGCTTCTCAATTGAATCTAATGAACACTTTTCATACGGATAGCATTCAGAACTCAGGCGCTCATGGTTGTCGAAAATATCTCCGTTTGTTTGCCTTTGCTGTTTGCGAGCATATATTTTAATTTACACTCAGTAGTCAGAGCTGTCCATCTTTTGCTTTAGTATTTCTTCTTTTCCTTTTAAGTGCCAGAAAGTTGTTAAATTAGGTTTTAATTATCCTGTCCTGCTAGGCCCAGCTTAAATGTCACCACTTCCCTGACATTTCTGCTGCTCTCTGTCTTCCTTTCCCTTGGCCCCATCTACAGTAGTTAACAACCTTTTGATCTCTGCAGTGGGATGGTGAGAAATGGCACCTCACTGCAGCTCTCATTTGCATTTATCTTCCTGGGTGTGAGGCTGAGTCTCCCTTCCTGGGTTTAAGAGCAATTTGTCGTTCTGGTTCTGGTAGTCGTTCTCAGCCCCTGTCCACTTTCTAATGTGACTATTAGTTTTCCTTATCTACTTACAGAAAAGTTAATTCTTCACGGTGTAAGTTGCTAATTGTTGTCTAGGTTGGCTTTTGAAGTTGCTTACTGTAGCTCTTACCATGTAGAAGTGTTTTTTAAAAAATGTGGTTGAATTTGTCCATCTTTTTCTTTTACATCATCAGGATTTATATCATATTTAGAAAGGTCTTTTCTAAGAGTTAAACATCATATTATAATAATACACCTGCATACTCATTTATAGTAGCAGAACTCACAGTGACTAAGCTCAGAAACAGCCTAGATGCTCATCAAGAGATGAACAGATACAGAAAATGTGGTGTAAACTGGGCGTGGTGGCTCATACTTGCAATCCCAGCACTCAGGAGGCTGAGGCAGGAAGCTGGACTACAGCTGTGAGTTCAAGGCCAACCTGAACTACATAGCAAAACCCTGTTTAGGAAAAAAAAAACCCTACAAACAAACAGGGTGGGGGAGATAGCTCAGCATAAGTGCCTACCTGGTGAGCACAAGACCCTGAGCTTGATTCCTAGTACCAAAACAAACAAATAAACAACAAAACCCAAAAAAAACAAACAAATAAACAACAAAACCCAAAAAATATAATATATAATATATATATATATATATTCGGCCATAAAAAGAAAGAAATTATGTTATTTTAAGGAAAATGGATAGAATCTGAGACTATTGTTAGTGAAATAAGTCAGAGTAAGTTAAATTATGTATTATTTTTCTTAAATGAGAAATCTAAAATAGAGAAAGTAAGGAGGAAGGGAAGGAAGGAGGGAGGGAAAGAGGAAGACTTAAAGGAGAGGTGTTAGAAAGCAAAAAAGCAGACATGCAGAGACGGAGAAGAAGGGGAAGAAGATTGACAGAGGGTAAGACGGGGGTTAAAAGGGACTGAAAATGATCAAGATGTTCTTTTCCATATATTAATCCCCGAAATGAGTGTACCTATGATGTACTGCAAATGTACACTAATTTTTTTCTTTTTTTCTTTTTTTTATTTTTTTGATAACAATAAAATTCTTCATAGGAAAATTTGCATGGGTTTAGGTACACAATTTCTGTACAAGTATAGGCAGACATCATCTGTACACTAATTTTTAAAAGGCCTTTCTTAGTCTGAGATTTTGAAAAAATGCCTTAATAATTTGGTTAAATCTGATCTTTTCTCTCTTCTTCCTTCCCTCCCTTCTCTTGTTTCAGTTGCATCTTTGATGGAGAAGCACACGGCTGAGCCAAGAAGCTTTTCTGCCTTCACCTTCTGCCCAGGCCCTCATTTGGCTCAGCAGCAGCTCTAGGTACACTACATCCTGGTACAATGTCAGCTCCCAGGGAAGCCGCATCCCAGCACTCCCAGAATGCAGCCAAAGATACTCCAGTGCTGCTTCTTAACACCCAAGACCCTGGGCGGGCGCGCAGCAGACACTTGGCCTTTTCCTTGCTCTGGATTAGAGGGCAGACGGTCACCCCCTAGGATCCCTGGATGACCTGGGTCCACTCAGAAGCCTCCACAGGTCTGATCATGCAACACATAACCCAGCAGCCATTACCCGGAGCTAGACAGCACTGAGAAAAGAAATTTCTAAGATCCCCACAGAGACTGGGACACCCAAAACTCGAAAGGGTCAATAGCAAATTGACTGTTTAAAAGATTCTGGTAGAATAAAGACCAAGGGGAAGCCTACAGTGAGCAAAATTTCAGATGGATGCATAGAGCAGCCTTCAATTTCAGAGTTGTCCAGCAATGGGAGGTTGCCTTTAGAAGTAGTCAGATTCCTGAGTCTGGAGGTATGCAAATGAAGGCCAGAACACAACCTAGTGAGAATAGAGATTGCTGTGAACCCCAGAAAAACTGTAGGGAAAGTTTGTGTGGGCATGTAGGTGCATACAGGCATACTCATTTCTTTGAAAAATTAATGACTTCCATCAGATTCACAAAGAGGATCTTAGCATCCAAAGAAAGTCTGCACACCTGCCTCAGGTGAGAGTCACATCCCATAGGCTGTGCAAGAAAGAATAGCTCTATACAATTCTTTCAAGCCTAGGGTCTGCGATTCTCCTTTCAAGATTAAAACTGCATTGCCTGCCTCCTCTGCTCACCAATGTGAGAGGCACCAATCAGAAAAATCTGGGCACAGCCATTTCAGGACCTTGGACGTTATGCATACCATTGCAACCCCAAAAATGCTTATCTAATGCAATGTGGAAAATATTGGTTTTCGGATGTGATTTCTGAATCACACTCTGTTTGATACTTTACAGTTATTGTCCCATTAGTTCCAGGTCCACAATTAATTGTCGCTCGAACAACCTCATATGTTTGCCCTGTAGGTAATTACAGTGGTTACTGTTCAGTGAATAAATGGCCCATTGTTTTTACAATGGGCTTGGAGTGCAATATATGCCCCAGGTCTAAATCATGTTGGGTGCAAAATATTAACTGGCGCTGATATTTTCTGCACCATTTGAGATAATGCACTCTTTGATTGGATTCTGTGCATTACTATATCTCTGGCTTTAGCCTCCTAAAACTTTCTTCCATAGACAGAATGCAGGAGCACCACTGAACTTCAGAATCGGGGTGGGAAATCTGAGAAATCATCTGGCTTTGGGGTTCTCTATTCTGGCTGCAAACTAGAATTATTTGGACAGATTTTTAAATTTTTGATAACTTGGTCCCACTCCAAACCAACTAAATCAGAACCTCTGGGCATAGAGCCCAAGCAGCAGTATTATTTAAAAACTTTCCAGGTGAGTGTAGTGCCCAGGGAAGACTGAAAACCATTGATGCAGATCAGCTCCCTTAGTTTTGGACCAGAAGACTGCAGCCTAGAAATGGGTAAATGCAGATGTCCACCATAAACAGTGATAGGTGGAAGCAGCGCTTGAACTGCGATCTGGAGGACGCTTACCCCAGTGCCTCTCCACCTAATGGCTGCCCACCTGCTTCCGTGTGTGCCCCAGGCCTTCTTTCCCCAGCAGCCAGCAATGCCAGTGCTGGCATCCGAGCTTGAAGACCCACGCTTCTGGGCTCCCTGCCTTATTTCACACGACCGAATTAGTTTCTGAACAGACTGTGACTGAGGCTTCCAGCTAATCCCTTCCCAAGGATGCATTGCAGAGAGTATTTTAAATTCTAATTTATAGTTTTTATATCTAGTTTTATTGCATTGTTTTCAGAATTTGGCCTATACTATATCTGATTTGGGAATTTATTGAGGTTTCTTTGTGGCCTTTTTAACTTTTGTAAAAGTTCTGTGGTGGCTGGAAAAAAGATGAAATCCTCATTGTAGGCTATAGAATTTTTTATTAGATGACATACGCATAATAGATATAATCAAGCTAATTATATTAACCATATGCTTCAGATTTTTGTTGAGTTGATCTATGAAAAGCTGAGAGGTTTAAGTGTTTTTCTGTTGTCTCAACCAATTCTCTGTGTATTTCAACAGATTTTATTTTGCATTCTTTGATTTTATGTTTGAGGCATAAATATTCATCACAATTACATCTTTATTTTACAGTAATGTATATTCTTGTCTACTGCAAATAGTAGGTACTTAATAGATATTCACTGAATAAATTAAGAGTTGAAACATTTATCAAGGTAAAATAAATGTCTTTGTAATT